AAACTAAACAAACTCAATTCTTTCAGCCTTGCTTCATAGGTCATGTTCTCAAGACCATTTAATCATTCAAGACCAGAATGCAAGAGTCACGATAACTAGATAGGCACTAAATTAAAATTTGGGTAAAAGGCCGCTTGAGAGGCTCATGTGAACCTCCCAAAACAGTAATAAATGGTGATCCCTCGTCTTTCCTGAATGGAGAGCTCGGAATGACTTGCTGGAGAGAAAGCAGTGAGGATTAGAGGGTACTAATTCTTCCTACTGAAAGGTGCATAAGGTACAAAATCTAACTTCATCAAAAAGAGAAACTCCAACAAGAGATTTGGTGAAGCGCTGGACGAATAACTGATTTTTCAGTTCATCGGCAGTTCTAAAAAATAATAATAAAAACAATTGGTTTGACCTGAACTGAATCCGGAAAATTTCAGAATTTTTCAGCAAATTGACAAAGTGCGTTTTGGGTCAAAGAGAACATTTCCTCTTGAAGCGCTAGATTCACCAGGGGATTTTGGCACTAGTCCCAAAACAGACAGAGGGGGAAAGAGCCATACCTTATAACTTTTAGCCCAGTGGTCAGGGGAATCAACCAAGCATGCGGGGAGCTCAGGTTCAATTCCCCACTCACCTTGATGTAGAGCAAGGACTTGAACTTGGGCCTCCCACCTCCCAGGTGAATGCCCTAACCACCAGGATATAGGCTATTCTGGGGTGGGTTATTCTTAATCTCTCCTGATGAAGCTGTTCAAGTATTTCATACAAAGCGGAATAGTCATTGGGTGAGAAAGAGAATGATGATAGCCTAGTGGTTAGTGAACTCTCTTATGAGGTAGAAGGCCCAAGTCCCAGACCCTGCTCTACTAAATATTTAAATTATTTATACTAAGTGGAAGAGCTTTAACAGAAGAGATTGAGAGAGACCTGCCCCAAAATACCACATTGCCCAGTGGTTAGGGTGCTCTCTGGGGAGGTAGAAGACCCAAGTTCAAATCCCTGCTCTATATCGGGGCGGGGGGCGGAAATGAACCCAGGAGAGTACCCTAACTACTGAGCTGAACGTTTAAAGGGGCACTCTCAGCAGCACCACCTCCTCCCCATTTTGTAAATAGTGCAGAAGTCCCCTTGTGAATCAAGCACACACGCACACACAAAACTGGCCAAAACTATTCAGCGAATTTGCAAATAGTTTTCAACCAACCAAAACTGCATTTTTCAAATAAACTATTTGACTGGGGTGGGCGGGGGGAAAGGCCCAGCTCTAACCCAGCACTAAGCCAACTATTTCTATCTACCTATAAGCTTCCCAAGTCCTGCTTCCCAGCTGAATGATAACTCTGCATGACGCTTTGCCATTCAGGATCAGAAAAGCCAACATTATCTGAAGATTATATCTCCTCTATTTTGATCTTTGCACCCTTTTCCTTGCAGCAAATAATGACAAGTGGTTGAGGAACAATACAATGGATACCAGCAGAAAGTTTGGTTTGGCAGGAGCTTTCTTCTATAACACAGCAAATCCCACCCAGGGGATCTGTCTCAGTGAGTTAACATTTTTCTTACTTAATTCAGTGTGAGCTAAGGTTAAATGAGGACAGGCCCGTGTTTTTACAGATGAAAACAGGCTGGCGATTTTTTCCTCCTAGCATGCTGTAACCTTCACAACCGTGTTCTTTATGCAGTCTGCAGGACTATACAACTACAAACAGCTGTAAATGGGCTCACTGTAGGCTAGCTTTTGTGGCGTTTAGATTCTAGTTTTGATTTGCATGCTGCTATGTAAGCTGCCCGTTGGGTGGCTAAGATAAGGTAACTAAGTCTGCATTTGGGTACTTGGATCTCTAAATATCAATTTTAGGTACCTAGGTGTAGATGCAAGTGGCCCAAATTGGGCATTCTAATCCAGGCACCCAAGATTGAAAATTGGACTCACAGGCTTCATTCACCACTGCCATACGTGAGTGCCACTCATTTGAAGCTGAAAGAGGTGACATTGGCTCATAGTATTAATTACTGATGGCTTGATTGTCTGGACTAACGTATTTAAGACGGCACATACAAATTTCCTATCCTCTTCAATACTGCAGGCAGCCAACAGGAACTCTTGTATAGTACAGAGGCATGCAAGCTTTAAGGCCGTGAGAGACTGCACGTGGTACAGAACGTTTCCTGACTTGCCCCCAACAGAATGACAAAAGGTACTTGCTAATGAACGGGTACCACATAACCCAGCACCTTTTATCGTCTGTGTATATGGTAACCAGAATGAGAACTTATCTGAAAACATCACCATCACCAAGTGAATTGTAGTGAAGGAGTCAATTAAGGAGACTGTTTATCTGGAAAGGGACAATTGAAGAGCCCACCTTAATAGGAATTTTTCCATCTCACAACTGAGCCATTTGGATGATCTCCAACATTTGGCTTTGAAATGCTCATGTTATGTTGTGAAGCTAAATGGATAATGCAAAACACAACTAATTAGAATAGCTCACTTACTTCCTCAATAGCGAACAGGGAAAATCTCTTAAACTGAACTCTTCTTGCTAAAAGACCCGTAACCAAGAAGCTATTCTGGAGCCTTCTTATGACAAACAGCACTTGATTAATGACTTCATCTTTTCCAAAAGCCTCCATACTAAAACTGTCTCTCAAACTGTCAGGCATCTGTCACCTAAAACGTACCATTTCAAAATGCAATGTATTTGTATTACAAAGATGGCTGGTCAGGTTTAAAACAAGCCTATTCAAAAGGCTTTGCAAACTGTATATTTATTCAATTTATTCGTTACCTTCTAGTTGGTTGTCAAATGAACTGACTCCCAGAATATATAGATTCATAGATTCTAGGACTGGAAGGGACCTCGAGAGGTCATTGAGTCCAGTCCCCTGTCTTCATGGC